ATTATCCATGCCGATCGCATAATTAACGAACACCGGTCGTCTGCGTGCCCGACGATCGATAAAATCGTCGATCCGGCGCAGATACGCGATCGTGCAATGGGATGGCAACTGCTTCCTGGGAAAATCGTTAATGCGCTCAACAGCTGCTCCGTTCGGACGCGATTAATTAAAAACGAAGTGTATTATTATGTATCGACTGAAAAAGAAGCGTTTTATTCCTCCATTTCTCTAACATTTGTTTATTTGGTTCCATTGACGAACCGACGAAGGCCGTACGAGCTTGCACAGACTCGTAACGTAATTTCAGACTAATAGCTCTTTCATAGGGTTTTGGAGATTTCAAGGTCAGCTTCTTTATTCCCCATAGACGATGTCTAGACGCGCTCAACGATCCTTAATACGAGGTTACACGATCTATAGTTACCCCATGTTACACACTTTGCCCTATATGATCTGTTGCGAACTAGCAATTTTAACACTTTACCGACTGATAGTCGATTAGTCGGTTTTCTGCCGCCAATACTTACCGGCCGATAGCCTATTAATCAGCTTTTTGTCGCAGACAATCTTTCTCATTATTTGAGCAGTAATTTGTTATTTAGTACTAAGGTACCTTGCTCAGTTGCGTCAGTTGCGTTGCTTTGTAAGCTCCCACGGTTTTATACCAATTTGAAAAACTTATCGTTCGCGATGAACGAAAAGAATGGTATTGGAGAGTCTAAACCGAAACTAGCGCCAGGGAGAATCTGCGCCTAATCTGTCGTACGTGCATATGCCGTTGAACCGCTAGCGGTCGGTAAAGTATTAAATCGAAACACAACTGTTAGTTCCTCGCCGAGGCTGTCAATTTCTTGAACGTAATATTGGCTTGGTATTGACAAAATCCGCAATCACTTAGTTGCCAAGCCAATGGTATCTTCGTTTAGATACTCATCGCTCTGTCACCTTCTATTTCTTTCCTTTTTTAATTTCTTCCTATTAACCTTCCCATTCTGTTTGTTTATCCCTGTCGCGCGTGTGTCGTGTTTTACTTCTACCGATAATTGCATTGTGACTTGTAACTGCTGCATTGAACGAGTGAAACGAGCGAGTAGCACTCGCTACATCGAATTAAACGTAAAATCTGTCGAATGACAGAGAAAGACGCGGTGCATCTGATATAACGGAAGCAAATACTGGACATGGGGAAAAATGGCGGAAGGATGGAAGAAGGAGGAAGAAAGAGGAAGAGAAGAAGAGCGACCAGGTGGTGCGAGAGCGGTGCGCGATTCAAGTGGCATATAAGAAACAGCTACTAGTCGGACACGCGGAGAAAAAGAAGAAAAGCGTGCCAGTAGTACGTTGACGTTTTGTCACAGTACGGCGGCGTAGCGCGGCCGTTCGTGGAATTACATAACGCGACGTCCGCCGTCCACGTGCAACGCGTCTACCGACACCGAATCACAGGTAGAATCACGTTCGCCGGGCTTTATTTGGTATGCCAGCCTGACATCCGGTAGCGCATCCATCGGCCAGCCCTCTATATTTTATACTCAACGTGAAACGAGGGCCGGCGATTTACGCAGGTGATCGCCAGATATAAAAAGAGCATGCGGATGAGAAAAAGTTGCGCTAGTGTGCTTAAAAAAGGAAAGAAAAGGGATGGGAGGGGGAAGAAAAGGAAAGAGTGAAATGAAATAGGTGTGTTGGAGAAATGGAAGAACGAAAGGTTGTTTGATGACCTGCGAATGTTTAGAAAGGGAATTTTTCGAATATTCCACGCACAAGATTTGCATTCGTGTGGCTCAAAGAGATGAGAAATGGAACAATAAAACGCTTTTCGGTGGCCTACGAATATTTAAGGTGGGAATTTGTCAAATATTCAAAATAGAAACTTTGAATTGGTTAAAGGAATTTTAAAATCTCCTGGCTTATGTGATTTTATACTGTCGTTTTACTATTTCCTCTCGTTCCGCCTCGATGGCAAAGAAGATAGAAGTATTTGACTGGTTTAAGATTAAGCGAACAAAAGTGTTCTTTGACGTGAACTACGATAGAACTGCGTTTATAGCTTACATGAACTTGTTGGTGGATAAATGAAGTCCATACAAGATATTTAGTCCATCACTATATATCTTATGAGAATACGAAAACATTTAAAAAATCAGTGAATTATCAATTGCATTAATAAATTTCAAAACCCAATATCTTTACCATAACGTACCATTTTCAACGTATTCAAAATGGCTCCTCGTTCTATATATTAATTTTCTAAACATTTTCAAATCGTTCTCAAATTTGATCATATACCGGGTGTGGTCGAATAACACTCACAAATGGGCACGAGGTGATTCCTTAAGAAAAAATAAGAACCAAATATGGAACAAAGTTCTTTCATCGAAGGTTTAGTTTTGGAGAAAATTGAGTTTGAAAATTTATCAAGTATACTAATTACCGTATGGCTAATTACCGACTGGATATAAGCAAACGATCGATAAAATGTTATCCTAGAAGCGAAAGTAAGTAAAAAATATAAAACAAAATTCTCGCATCTAAGAAAATAGAGTTCGATAAATTTTCAAATTTATTTTTTTCGCAAACGAAGCTCCCTGAGAAGAAATTTAATTCCGCATTTTCGACTTATCCTTCCGATTATTTAATACTGTCAAGTCCGAAATTAGCCATGTTCAAGTATATGGTAAATTGGTAAATTTTACAGCTCGATTTTCTCCTAAACTAAGCTTTAAATGAACAAATTTAACTGCGTATTTTGTTCGTAATTTTTCACAAGGAATCACCTCGTACTCGCTTCTATGTGTCATTCAGCCGCACCCTGTGTGAATCAGGAATTTTGTATGCGACAGTCAGTGCTCATTATCAGTGCTAACGAAATGTCGAAATATTTTATACGACGCACGCAACATACACGTACGAAGTCTTCCACGCTAACTCGCGATCGCATACGCTGGCTTACGCAGCATCAAAAATATTTTCGAAAATTCCTTTCGACAAGACAATACGTTTGCGATCGCTATCGTACTGTCCATACTATCCATCCCACGTTATACCTTGCCGAGCTTAAATCTACGGTGAAACCAAATCCATTTGAACATTCGCAAGAAACCTGCAACCGATAAATTAGATTTCGCGCGTGCAACTCGATCAGAATTGCCCATACGATCGCAGTCTCTTGGTGGCACGCGCTTGCGCCGGGTAAATTGTTTGGGGATCGATGTTCACGGGACGATTTTCAAAAATCAGCCAACAAGATATCGTGACGGATCACGTAAGGTCGTGGACTGATACTCGAGACACGCGATAATCACCGTGGATCAGTTCTAATGTTACGTGTGTTTGTGGTACGCGAGCGTCGTGAGCTACACGATATCGTCTCGCGTTTCGCTAGCTGTCAGAAGACGACTTTTTTTCGTCAACATCGAATCGAAGAGCGTTTCGTAGCAGAGTTGGACATCGTATGACGAATATGTTTTTACATGTCATTGTCGTATAACGAATCGTTTGGAATAAATATTTGTCTGTGATAATTATTAAATATTATTATGTATAGTGTATATATTTATTGTATAATATTTTTTACATTAATTGGTAAGTTAACAGTGGAACCAGCGATAGTTAAGGCGAAGCTATTGCCATCTAATGACAAAATCCGCAACCACTTAGTTGCCAACCCAATATTTCTACCAGAACCAGTGGAAATGACTGGTGTGATAGTTTTGACTATTGTTAAATAATGTGTAAATATAAAATTAAAATATTACATAATAATGTATTATATAATTATATAGAAATGTAAGACACTGCAACTTTTAATTTAACTTTCTTCCTCTATCGTTTTTCGGCTAGGAAAAAATTATTTCGTTGTTAGCATGAGCTACATTTGTGCAAAGTTTCAAATTTTCCAGCTGACGTGCTTCCCTTTCGTATGTTGTATTCGCGTGGAATTTATCGTATTTTAATAGTTTCGAAAGTGTAGTTTCAATAAAAAGAACGTGGGCCATCGATGGCCACCGTGATAGCAAACGCGTTAATAAATATCGTAATTTACAAATAGAAGCAAAGGTAAGGCGCGAGGCCAATTTCTGCGCGATTCGCTCGTTTGCTTGCTGTGCGATAATCGACGAATTAATTACTGGTAATTAGCACTGGCTCGTTAGTATGCGATTAACGTGCTCGGTATCTCGCGTTTTTGCGCTTTCGTTTTTCGTCGTTACACTCTCCCTGCCTCTCCCAGCGCTGATTTTCTCCAACTCCAAGTTTCTTACCTCTGAACTACTTAATTAATCACTATCGATGCTTATACACGCGATCATCGCAGAGTAATTCAGCCAAACATTTTGTACGATATGCGATTTGTCCGAGGGGGAAGATCAAATTGATCGACTGCCGAGGGAAAATCTGCGAGAAATTGTCGAGACGATAAGATTTGACGTGTGAGTATCTCCAAAGACGATCTATCTTTGATATATGATTTTTACATTCGTTTTGCATTTATCGTAACACGAGCAGAAAGAGAAGGGCACCTCGAGACTCGCAATTAGCATACGAGCACCAACGGATATTCAAATTCGTTTTTCTCGAAAACGAGCCCTCGAACGAAAAAATGTTATTCCTCTTTCTCCACTTATTTTTGCATGCAGAATCACCACCCGACCGCTTGTACCGTGATTTCGGAGACAGCCTATATACATATACATATGTCTATATACAGGGTGGTTGTTTATATACTATCTATATACTGGTGGTACAAGCGGAAAGGGGCGACTCTACGCGAAAAAAGAAGTCGAAAATATAGAATAAAAAAATTTTTTTTTTTAATTTTTCCATCGAGACAACGATCTACAGTGAGATCCGTTATAACGTACCGCACGCGTACCGAGCGAAAATTCAAAGTCGATTTTCTCGAAAACAAAGCCTCGAGCGAAAAATTTGTATTCTATATTTTCGACTTCTTTTTTCGTGTAGAATCACCCCCTTCCGCTTGTACCACCAGTTACCAACCACTTAGTCGCCAACTCAATAGAAGCCTTAGGAAATCACGTTAGGGATTTCTTTGCCTGTTGAAAGAATGATTGCGATTGAAAGGAAGATTTCGGAATGGATGGTTGGTTTGGTGGGCCAGGAAATGATAAAAACGCGATCGTAAGTGGAACGATGGCATAGGGTACTGCAGACCTCACACCGTGATTTTATGGGCACCTATAAAAGGAGCATAGCAGTGAGCACTTTAAACGATCGCCGTTTAGTTGGTTGGACGTTGTCCAATGGTTCGCTATATCATGCCAAGATAAATAACGTGAACAGGATGAACCGTGTCAAGTGTGCAGGGGCCTAACCTCTGTAACGAATGCATTGTGCTAGTCTGACGATTCATTAGTGTCCGTTTAATGAGAATCGATAAAGAGAATGATGTTGCAGGTGGCATTCCGGCTGAAATATTTCGTTTGCTCGAAATACCCGTACAATCAATTGATACGTTCGTTTCCTATAGGCGCGAGCAAACATAAAGTCAAATATACTATTGAGATATGTGCTACACTGAATTAGCCGCGTAGTTGTGGCACACATATATGAGTATGAACGTGTGTGGGAGTATGTGCGTGCGCAGCGTCGCAAGAAACAGAAGAATGCAACTGTTCCGTACGCGTGGTGGAAAAGAAGATGGCGAGACAAAAAGATTGCTATGGGTATCTACGAATATCTTGTAAATCACATATTAAATAAATATGAAACTATTTTAATATCATTTCTACGTGTACTATAAGTGTTCCTATACATTTATTTCGGCGACTAAGATCCACAATTCTCAACATATACATAAACTTTTGTTCCGAGTTCTTCTAAGGTTGTAAGGACGTGTTCCAAAAGAAGATCCTTTATACCATGTATTATTGCTGTGGAAATAAAGAAAGATGTCCATTGTCTTATGGCTATACAGCTTTCTCAAATTATTCCCTAAACTAAACACGATATTGAAAGGATACTTTGGAGCGATGTTTGGGACAACCGGAACTGTCCAAAACAATTTTGACGCTTCCTGTTTTATGAAAATGTGGACTGGACAAAGATTCACTCGTTTGGTGTTGTTTCTCTGAACCCTCTCAAACAATTCATTATTCCTTTGCACCAACTTAGAACAATTCTGAACGAAGACAAAAAATACGAGATTAAAAGAGTAGGAGGAAGGGAGGGGGACTATCTTCATACAGACACCGAAGATGCTCATGAAGCTGCACGATTTGTTTCGCCAGGTACCAGACATAGGAGCGGAATTAACGGGAGGCTGTTACGGTTTCGCGGCCAAGTTTATGCACTGGCCCGAGGAATTACTCGTCGGTGGTGCTAAGCACAATAAGACTGGTCACTTGACCCGTGCAGCTGCGCTTCAGACCGTTGTGCAGCTGATGGGAGAACGAGAGCTTTACGATTTCTTCGACAACACCTACAAGGTACATAATATCGACTGGTCCCAGGAGAAGGCATCGCAAGTACTTAAAACCTGGCAACGAGCGTTCAGCAATCAAGTGAAGAAGCACCTGGGCGCGAATGGCTCAGCGCCGTACAATCTGTACGCGTTCAGCACAACCACCATGAACGACATACTTGGGAAGTACAGCGAGGTGTCCGTTATGAAAATCGCCATAGGCTGCGCACTGATGGTCAGTATAAATATTATTACGGTTTCTAACGCTTTCGTGGATACTCTAAGTAATAGATACGTTACGTTGGTCTGGTACATTGATCCTGTACAGTTTCGATTATACAGGGTGCCCTCTGAGTGATGGTGCAAACGGGTAAGGAGCGATTCTACGTGAAAAGATAAGTTGAAAATGTGGAGCAACGTTTTTTCATATAACGTTTCGTTTGCGAGAAAATCAAGTTTGAAAATTTGTCGAGTATACTTGAACTTGGTTAAGTATGGACCAAGTATCAATAAATTAAGGAAAAGTATAAAATCAGCAGGAGGTTATTCTACGCGCGGAAATAAGTAAAAGATGTGAAATAAAGTTTTCCCATTTGCCACTTCGTTTTCAAGAAAATAAAGTTTAGTCGAGGACTGGTCTTGTGCACACGCACGATGCATTTTCTAATTAATTTTTCTTCAAGACATAGCATCTTATGACAAAATGTTATTCTACGTTTCTGACTTATCTTTATGTGCAATTTAACTTCCTGTCGTTTATATGCTCCTGTTCAGTCCGGGATTAGCCACGTCGAGGTATACCTACCGAATTTTCAAACACAGTTTTCTCGGAAAGGAAACATCATATGAAAAAAATGTATTCCATATTTTCGACTTGTTTTTTCACGTACAATCACCTTCCACCAAACTGTATCATCTGTATTTGACATTCTTATTTCGCCTGATTAGAAACTTGCTAAAATTTGGCTATATATAATTAAAATTGTATAACTGGCTATACTCGTATGTATAAATGGTACAATTGATTATTTGTAATCAGTAATCCACCTTAATATAATAATATTAAACTAAATTATAATCCTCTGATGTGAAATATCTAAGAGAACTGTACAAGGGATACACATAACACACCTGACTATAAAAATTTATTTAAAAAAGATATAAAAAATGTAATGTCAAAATTTTATGATGCAGGTCTTACTTATTCATTAACTTATTATCTACCTCCTCGTTATAGAAATATAATCTTCTTTCAGGTACTGTACGCGGGTATAGTCCTTCTTCGATGGAAGGATCCAGTGCGTTCGCAAGCTGGCGTGGGCATAGCCGGTGTAATGCTCATCTGCGCAACTGTGGCCGCTGGTTTGGGGTTCTGCGCCCTCCTGGGAATCCCCTTCAACGCAGCCACCACTCAGATCGTCCCTTTCTTAGCTCTAGGACTCGGTGTTCACGATATGTTCCTATTAACTCATACTTACGCTGAGCTCTCGGTAAACGAAGTGCCCAGTGGAGAACAGACAGGAGTGGTTTTAAAAAGGACCGGCCTATCTGTCCTTCTAGCAGGAATCAGCAACGTGTCAGCGTTCTTCGCTGCAGCGATAATCCCAATTCCTGCACTCCGCGTGTTCTGCTTTCAAGCTGGTATCTTGTTGCTTTTCAATCTGGCCGCTATGCTGCTTGTTTTCCCAGCTATGGTAAGTTTGGACCTGAGAAGACGACGTTCAGGTCGTTCAGATATACTCTGTTGCTGCCTACCATCGAACGCTGGCAGAAATAAGTACGCCAATAGAATGAGCAATGGTACCGCGAAGCAAACTGTAACGAGGGCGATACCACCGGAACGCCGTGAAACCTGCACGCAAATCTTGACATCACAAAACGTGCAGAATGAGTCCTGGGTCGGTGGAAATATCGAAGTGGACTTGGATAAGCAGTGTAGCGAAGAAGACACCCTAACAGGATGCAGCCAAGACGACTGTCTCACTTTCTCCTTAACCCAGTTAGCTGCGAAGCATTATGCTCCCTTCGTCACCAGACCAGCGACTAAGGTCTTTGGCATGATGATTTTAATCGCAGTTCTTGTTGGCTGTGTTTGGCAAGCTGTAAGGGTGAGCGATGGTCTAGAGCTGACCGATCTGGTCCCACAGAATTCCAATGAACATGCTTTCTTAGCTGCCCAGGCAAAGCACTTTGGATTCTACAATATGTATGCTGTTACCCAGAGGGAATTCGAGTACCCTAACAATCAAAGATTGTTGTATGAGTATCATGATGCCTTCATGAGGATAAAGAATGTGATCAAGAACGATAACGGAGGATTGCCCGAGTTTTGGTTAAGTTTGTTCAGGGACTGGTTGAAAGGACTGCAAAACGCGTTTGATAGGGATTATAGCAATGGATGTATTACACAGGAAAGGTGGTACAAGAATGCTAGTGACGAGGCAATTCTCGCTTACAAATTGTTGGTACAAACTGGTCACGTAGACAATCCTATTGACAAATCGTTAGTCACTCAAGTCAGGCTAATCGATTCAGAAGGGATCATCAATCCAAGAGCGTTTTATAATTATTTGAGTGCATGGGTGTCAAACGATGTTTTGGCTTATGGTGCTTCTCAGGCCAATTTAAGGCCAGAACCAAGGCAATGGATTTATACTAATGATCATGAATTAAAGATTCCAAAAAGCATGCCTCTGACGTATGCTCAGATGCCATTTTATCTGCATAAACTTACTGACACGCAAGAAATTACAGAACTAATTGGCAATGTTAGAAAACTGTGCAAAAAATTTGAGGAACGAGGACTACCAAATTTTCCTTCTGGTATACCATTCCTCTTTTGGGAACAGTATATGGATTTAAGAAATTGTTTGGGTATTGCTCTGTTAGCTGCTTTAACAGCCAGTGTTGCTGTCGTTGGAATATTATTATTGAATTTCTGGGCAGCCTTGTTAGTCGGCACTTCTCTTGCTGCTGTGGTACTACAACTCTTTGGAATCATGGGCCTCTGCAATATAAAACTGAGCGCTGTTCCTGCTGTTCTGTTGGTCGTCAGCATTGGAATTGCTGTGCACTTTACAGTGCATATTTGTCTGGTTAGTATAAATACAAGTCGAGGATAAGTTGAGACATTGAGAACAAAAGCAAACTACTCCCAATACCTAAGTAGCTAAACGATTCTCTCTCTAAAATAGAATTGAACACAAGATATTCAATGTAACAGAAAGTAAGAGTGTACAGAAAGAACGTTGCTTATTCCACTTTGGTGCTCAATGTCTCAATTGTAAAACTCGTTATTTCGTTCATATTATATTATATTCTTAAAATATATTATTCTAATATATTCTAATATATTATATTCTTGTTTTTATTCTTGCAGAGTTTTGTTACGAGCATTGGAAGCAGAGATAGAAGGATTCGGTTAGCTCTGGAGCACATGTGCGCACCTGTAATTCACGGAGCAATAACAACTTTATTAGCAGTCGTGATGTTGGCCTTCTCCGAGTTCGACTTCATCGTTCGGTATTTCTTCTTGGTGTTGCTGTGTCTTATTGGGATCGGTTTGGTGAATGGATTATTCTTTTTCCCCATCCTGTTGTCTTTGATCGGCCCATCTCCAGAAGTAATACCCAATGACCATCCGGATCGTATTTCTACGCCAACTCCACCTGCCTCGCCAATCGTCAGAAGATCGAAACCTCCTGCACCCCCCAGGAGATCGTACAAAATTGATAACGCCAGGTTACACGCTGAACCATCTCTCACTACCATTACAGAGGAACCCAATTCATGGCACAGTACACAGGAGTCTTGTATTATTGTTCAGCCAGAGTTGAAGGTTGAAACGACATCAACTTGTGGCAACCAGGTACGTTATATAACATGAATATTAACTGTTTTGAAATATTTCCTGTCTCACGTGGCATTTTCTTCCAAATGTACTTGACTTGAGAGTGCTTTTGATAATATCTACCATTTGGCTTTCTATCTCTGTAACTGCTTACACATTACTCAAAATTCTTCTTATTACCTTACATACTATCTCGCGTGAATGATACCGATACTCCAAATCCACGAAGCATGATTAACATGTGTGCTTTTGTTTTTAACTAACAGAACTGTAGCGGATCAGATACAAGTGGGTCTAGTCGAATGTCACCAGTGACATCTACGTCTCATATCACAACCAAGGTCACTGCGACGGCTAATATAAAGGTTGAAGTTCATACACCGTTAACTAGTGAGTATCTATTGTAACGTTTGACTAAAAATGTTTCTTGTCATGATTATATTACATACTTATCATAAAATTCATCGACTTTCAATGTAACTTATTCAAGTATCTTAAACAAACAATATACATACAAGCAATATGATGGAATTATTTCTTGCAATGCTCTACGTGGATATTGATTTCTGTGTAAAATTATTGTAGGTACAGTGGATCGTAGCGAAAAATGCAGACACACGACTTCCAGTAGCCGAAGGAGCTCGCGCTGCAGTGCGAACGTTAATGCTGGGGAGTCTTCCGGTTCCGGTTCTGAACCGGATTCAGACACTAACCCAAATAAACACTAATAATAAGTACCGGGAAGACCGGCAGCTGCTGCTCAAATACCATGCAAAGCGGGAACATACAGAAGGCTGACTAGGATAGATTTATAGTTTCTTTTCTTCTTTCTTTTCTTTATACATCGTATGGCGATGTGCGGGTACCCAAAGTTTAAATAGCAATGGCTTTATTCGAGATAAGTCCGCGTAATGTTCTCACATGACACGTTTCACCTCTCTCTTAATCTTTTGTAAACTAGATATACGAACTAATCTATTCACTGCCCTTATTTTATATAAAACACCGCGGACGAACAACGTGGAAAGCCAATGATCAGAGTTTACCAGGTACTCTCACATCGTTAATAACGCAATGTGCTTGTCCTCTTTGAATTAAAGAACAAAAGTATTATGACTCAGAAATACTGAATCGATACACGCAGTGATACATTGTATATAAATGTCCGCGAAGATGCATTTATATTTGTATCGTACGTCCAATGCGGGCCATACGTACGAACAGAATGTTCGTAATTCACTTTCAACGCATTGAACGTGTGATAAATTATTGGGATATATATATATATATGTATATGTATATGTATATGTATAAAATGATATTTTTAACAAATCTACTTAGGAGCATGTCAAAGAAAATGCTTTACTACACGCTCTGTGGTATACGACAGTTTCCATGAAACTATAAGGATATTATTTTATGAACTAGAAAAATTTCAACGTCTGTTCTATAATTGTTAATAATACGACGAAGATTGAAAAACTGGAAATGTTTCGGGTGTTTATAGAACTTTTCCTAACAACTTATTGTAAAGTCCGTTATACAAAACAAACCTATTATTATATAGTAACATATTTTTGGAAACGTTTATCCGTCAGAAATATATATGTATATATATATTGAGACGTTTTCTTTTCTAGAAAATACTAATAGTATTATGCGCATAATATGTAGTTTGAGATTTTTGCGGACAATACATGACTTTCTTTTTGGGTCTAATTACGTGCAGATTAATCGTTGGTACCCTTTTGGGTATATAGGTGACCGAAGGTTTACAGATTACATTTACGTAATACTGTTTAGGGAGAACTTTCTAATTTAGAAGTAATTACGACGATGTAGCTCTCTTGCGCCGTTTTTTTGCAACGACTACAATGTGGTGCCTTGAAAATGATAATAAAATTTCGAGTAACTATTTATTTTATACACTAACAGTTATAGTGCAGTGTGTATATGACTTCGAGCGATATTAAATTTAAAATCTATTTATTATTTATTTCTACGTGTCTACTTTGATATCACGATTATTTAAAGCGTTTCGTTTTGTACAATGCCTATTTCATATGATAATTTGTAAAAATACTTCATTATTTATGTCACCCTATATATTTTTATATAAAACCGTTACTTAATTTAATAAAATAAGTCGATCTATCCGATTCGTACCTCTTATGTAAAAAGGTGTAATATATTATTCCACAGCCAATATGTATGTATGTTTATGTTTTTTTTGTTAGGTATGAGACAGAATTATGTACAATAAGAGAAGTATTTTTATGTGAAGTCAATCTTGTAAACATACAGAATGCAGATAAGGTATTTAATGAAAGAAGACGTTCTATTAGAGATGTAGAATCTTTATTGTGCATAAAAAACACTTTCATAAGAAAAAACATAGTCAGTGTGTACCTCCATCGTGCTTCCTAAATTATACCACAAATTCCTATTCAAATACAGTTATAGTAAAACGTTTATTTTTTCGACCATGTTTCAAATTATAGAGCCAGTACTTCTTTTGATTTTACAATTAAATTGGAGGTGCAATAATTAACTTACTACTGCTTTTAGTATTATAGAAGCTAATAATTTTTATATATTGAATATAGAAACAATTGTACGATGTATAATCTTCATTTGTATATAAATACAATGATACTATTATAATAATTTTGGAAGTACAGTCAATTACTGTTCTTAGGTCTTTATGAATATTTGCATATTTCACATACTTTGCTTATCTAAAACTTTCTTTTAACTTACACATTAATTCCATTTGTCAGTTTTACCATTGTCATCTGTGTCTTCTAATTTCTATCAGTTGAAACCATCGTTTGCTACTGCAGATAATGTCTCGTCTGCATTATGATTCTATAATGTTATAGTATTTATTAATAAACATATATAAAATTATTTATCGATACACATATACATATATAAATGAAGAATATTACCTCTGGTAACTTTTCACTTTTTTCCTGCCAGCTTTTTGTAATTATTGAGAGAACCTATAAATTCAATTATGGTAATATTTATTAGATATTTATGTATTATGTATATAATTAAGCTTACAAGAAATACTAACTCTAGTAAATGGCCCACTCAAAGGAGGTTCTTCTTTTATTAAATTTGAGGAATAACTAATCTCTTCCAACCGAGATCTTTCTGTCTCTAGTGAAGGAATGGGTTCAAACACTTGACTACATAGTGTTTCTGATGGTTTAGAAGTTGTGTTCATAGGTAAGCTGAGTTCATTATTTAGTAACAACATGTCATCGAAATTATTATTTTGAATCTATAATATATTTTTTAGTAATAGATCATAAATTTATAATAAAGGAAATATGTAAAATATATACTTGTAAATTTGGAAAATATTCTTTTGGAACAATAATGTTGTGGCTTCTTGAACTACTGGCTACTGGTTCAGTAGAAAGAACTATTTGATTTGTGATAGTTTGAGGTAAACTAAAGTCGAATTCCATCGGTCTTTCTGGGCCTTTAGACGGGACTAATATTATACAAATTTTTGTATATACATATATAATATGAATTTATTAAGTATTTATATACCCAAACTTTCCACGACAAGAAATGGCGTTTCGTCAACCCATGTTGATTGAGCCGCACAGACTTTTAACCATTCTGCGGTAACAACTGGTATTTTCCACCTTACTGCAGCGTCATACTTCCTCCCCTTTGGTATTGGACAAATTAAATGTGTGTTTTTATATAGATCTCTGTCAATAATCATTTCACGAGCGAAAACATTTTGATACCTGAAATTAAACAATGCTTTAATACTTGATTCACTCTAGTTATCCTTAAGGTATATGATAAGAATAATACATTGCTCCCAATTCCATAGCTAATGTTACAAGATACGATCGTTCAACTCTTAGATATGTGCTGATTGTAAGAACACAACCTACTAATACATGCTTTGCTACAGATACAGGTCTATGATAATACATAATTTCAACTATTCGATCCTGATTTACACAGTCTTCCTATAAAAAAAAAATGCTAATACTAAAGAATATATCAAAATATGAAAATCGAAATAAAAAGCTGAAACTTACAATAAACAAATCGGTAACAATTTCTTTCACTGTACAATTTAAAGGCATACCACATTTTGGCACAATACCATAATCTGGAATCGTAACGAACGTACCTGGAACTACACTTCCATTCATTGCTACTATACTTTCAACCACATTATTATACGTGTTACAGTAGGCAGATACGGCAAATGTCAGACCTATATGTATATTTTACCATTATTTTAGTTCATTGTTGTACATATTCTACCACAGCATTACCTTCAAATAGTCTATTATTAATAATACCACTATTATCTGTTCCAGGTAGCATTGAATACTCAAGACTTTCTGGCGTTTGAGACAAAACAGGTATATACGAATCTACATATTCTTGCACGTTTTCATCAGTTGCTGAAGCTAGCAAAAAGTAAGATGTACATTCAATTTCTTTCATAAAAAGTGTAAGCAATTATTTACAGATACTACCAATCATATTTTGTAGTTCCTGTTGACCGAGATTAAATAATTCTTCCCTTTGTTCTGGCATCCTTTCTTGCAGCAATTGTAAATTCTGAAAAAATATATGAACATGATAAATACCTATATTACGTACTATATTTTTATGTATATATCATAATTAATGAAGATGATGGTTCTGTAACCTTTTGGATTGCACTATCTTCTTGTTTGTATAAGAAATATTCTACTGGCGCGGTCCGTTTTAATCTAATACTCTCTTCCAACCACTCCAGTTTCAATATATATGGACTACATCATATATCCATTAAATTACAGAATTTTAAATAGATATTAATTTAGACATTAAAGTAACATTATACCATAATCCTCTTGATTTCAATAATTTTAGTTCACTAGCTGCGCTATCTTCGTCCCCGACAATAACGTGTGTTATAATGTCACATATATAATCAAATCGCATTGCACTACCTACATGCAATATTCTGTTAAGTTTATTCCTTTGATAAGAAGTAAATCCAGCTAGGTAAATCTGAAGAGAAGAAAAGAATTAATTAGAGAAATACCATCGGAGAGTATTATAAAATATGAAAAATGTAAATACAATTTACGCACAATGCAACCAAATAAAAATGGACCAGCCGCTTCTGCTTCATTAAACATAGGTCTAGCCAAAACTGTAGTAACTTTAGAAACGGAGAAGTTGGAATAAATTTAAAATAAAATTTATCTTTGCTGTAAGTTACTTTCATGCATTTTTTAATACTAACCAGTAGAAACATTGCTCATTGTTGAGATTTTAAATGCGGTTTCATCTATATAATTGCTGCGCTGTTTGTCATATGTTATGAAACTTGTTGTAGAACAACTACAAGTTTCATGTACTGAACATTAAAAAAATTATATTAGCCACCAATTTATAGATCTATAACACTAAAGAGATATTTTTTACCATTTGATCTTCTTGAAGAATAACATTGTTTTACTGTTTGAAATATATAGTACCTAAAAGGCAAAGCATGGCCAACTTCTATACTTTGATATAGCCAATTTAGTGTTAAACAAATAATATCTGCTTCTCTTGCATATTTGAGCTTCTGATTTATTGGACTATTTTCTGGTGTAAGTACTATATTAACTCTGTCTACATTCAAAGTATCCATATACACCTAAAAAGAGAATAATAATATAAGGGAATAGTTAGCTAAAATATAAAAGAAAAATTTTAAACAATATGTATTTTACTCCTCCATTATTTCTAATTAAACGTGAAATGTCTTCCTTTTCACATTCCTGAATATTTGTTGCTGTTACAACTAAATTATAGAACATAGGAACTTTATATTTATCAAACCTCTTGTCATCTGGATCAACATAATCTGTCTTACTCGCTTCCCATATTGCTTCAACCCATTCTTTTGTAACTATTGGTATTTTCATATGTATCGCCTTCTATTAGAAAGAATTAAATGTTATAATAAAACTATATAATAAATATAATATTAGCGATATAAATTTACTTACCTCATATTCAGCAGAGAAAAGAGATGATGTTACAAGATGTGTTACTTTATCACATAACTCTATTGCAAAATTTCCACTCATCTTTGTCACTAATGCTTGTATGTATCTCTATAATAATAAGATTTTTTAATATTTCCTCTTTTATTGTGTGCAGAAACAATCATTAGTGAATATACCTTATCTTCTAAACATAAATGAGAACATGTACATATACAAAGATTTGCCATGACTGTTGTATGCATTAGACTTCTTCTACCTGGTGTTGCACTAAAAAAAGATGGCAAATGTTCTGGTTCAATTATGCTGTAACATTAAAATAATATTGATTAATATCATGTGATCTACTATCTTTGCAAAGTTTATGTAGCAGTATATTACATCAATATCAAGCTTCTACTTACTAACATTCAGCTGTTACTAATTTTTTCAATGGAATTTGTTCACGATTTTCCACCACAAGGATATCAGATGTCGTAAATTTTAATTTAGTAAAATTTCTTTTACTGATCCATACTGGTTCTATACCATATTCAAGGCATTTCTAAAAGATCAATTCATTATATCGTTTTTATTGTTGCTTAAAATATATTATTTATGTAAAAATAAACCTACTAACATCGTACGCACGCATCATATTTTCACTACAGTGCTCTTTAGACTTTTTCGTCTTTGATGTAACAAAATAAATCTTGGACTTTTTTGTAGATTCACTCTGTTTACTCATTTTTAAATACTGTCTAACTGGTTATTTATATATGATATGATTTTTATTTAACAAATAAATATTCAATGAAAAATAAAATCTTTATGTGTCACACAATTATACGTCAAAAACTATACCGAGCACTATATTAAGTATTAGCAGGGACGAAATTTGTTTTTAATCGCTTGATACGATGAAATAACTTTATATTTGTCAAAATGACATTCACTTGACTGATATAAGGGTAATGTAACGTTTCCACTTCCGGACCATCGAAATAGATATTTTGTCTTATTTTCATTTTTATTTATAAAGAATTGTAAATTTTACGTTATAATAGGTTAGATTTTCTTGACAAAGGTGTAGTTAATTAAAAAGATCATTAATTTTGAAAAGATATTATTTTATACCTAATAAAATAGTATTCAAAACTTTTAATTTAAATTTCTATTTAAATTTTTTGTTTAATTTTTTATGTTTTATTTTGTTTAAATGGTAGAATAACAGCAAAACTAGGTAAAACCACCGAAGGGATATAGAGGAGAAAAGTAGACGTGACCCTCCATGACCCCCACATCGTGTTCGCATGCGACGTTATCAATTCAGTTTAGTACTGTTTTGAATTAAACCTAAAACCACTGTCGCAGAAAATAATCTTCACATGTGCTACAAAATAAAAATTTTATAATTCATATATCAATTAATAACAGTGATAATTATTTTAATTTAAAGAAATGTCTTCTTTTATTTTTCAAGATAGTTTCGTTATCAATTCTCAAATTGCTAATTATTAATCATTTTGAAGAATGATAATTGTTTTTAATAAATGCATTCATAAAACAGCGTAGGACAATTATTTCATTTTTTTCTATTTAGTAAGATATTATATGTAGAGCGATATGTAGAGACGAAGAAATTATATATAAGAGTACTACAATCATTTTTGAATAATATTAATTAAAAATAATCTTATTTGCCATTATAAAAATTGTTGAAATTATTTAACAAGTATGACCTATATCGATTAATCAAAATACGCCTCGATCACTGGCAATTCAATAAAGAATGAAGAATATCGGCTGGCACCGATAGACAAACTTGGTTTAAACATCTTGTACCTCAGTTGACCTAAAATATCAAGGATCGCAGTTGACGAAAAGATTCGAATAAAATCTCGTTTCAAAATATCCAACCGATGATCAGTTTGGATTAATTTGCCGCATCGTTTGGTATTCCCGTCATAAACTGTTTGATATAAATCTACGCTATTCTAAAACGCAATGGCAAATTGCTGCTTGCAAATTGGGCCTGAAAATATGTAGTGCAGATAGAACCGGTAGTCCAAAAAAAAATGACTTCTGATATGGCGTTGTTCGTTTTAAATGTGTAAAGGAACTGTCCGTGACGTGATGAATAATATGTTTCTATCCTACACCTCTTTGACTACACATATCACAACATTACATACTCAAAAATTTGAAAGAATATTATTTTTCCTGAAGTTACAGTTGCAAGAAACATTGAATGTCATGTCTATTCTGTTCTTCGTCGATGCGCATACGTTGTCACGGATGCTCAAATAGGCAGAAATGTACTATAATAGTAGCGATAGTTTCTTGCGAAAAATTTCAGAAAACAAAACCGATCGCCGATTATATACATAAGAAAAATTGTACAAAATGATATATTTCAAAATCATCAAAGTCGGAGAGGGAGTACCTTTCTACAAGTTCACATGGCACATACCATATCTATATACATACATACTCATGAACTGACATGCACGTATACGCACACGTGTATGCTGCACTAACAGTAAATAGCATTTTATATAAATTATAATAGTCGCCTTAGTAAATCATAGAGGGCGTAAGAGACATTCTGATCTTTTTCTCGGTCGGTATTTCAAAACGTGAGACATAAAGTTCTATTTAATGCCATGTCTATCCTATCCTTATACAATGATAAAACGTTGTATAATCGTCAAAAAGTCAGATCAATTAGATCTATTTTTGCTCGCCACAAAATTCAAGAAAGCAAAATATGATTACCAACATTACTATTTAAACTATCAGAACTTTGAAAATGTACAATCATATATAAATCCATAAAAAAGTTTAAATGTCGATCGCAGATTGCAGACATTTGCAGAATTTAGCTTTATTTTCGATCCTTTTGCGTGATATATTTTATATGCAGCATTTCGATGCGTCGAATTATGTCCAGCAATGGGCAACGATTGGCGTATTCGAGACATTTCAGCCAATCAGCTTTCATAGTACTATTAGAACTGCATTAAACCTATTATCTATGACAATAGTATAGGAATACGGTCTCATGCGATACGTATCGAAATCCCCGCACCTGTTTCAATTCGAGTTCGAGTCAGAGTGAAAAGAGATAAACAATATATTTCTCGAGGCTAGGGTTCTTGCAAACAATGCACTTGCCTAAACTGGTGAATCATCTTCGGAACTGCAGCACCTACGAGAAATTTCTTATCAGACTGTATATCGTGACAGACGCTTGCGAATAAGACATAGTGCGCTATGCCAGCCTGAGAGAGCTCTCTCAGAGAGGATTTAAATTTCAGTCGTATCGGGGCAGTAATCGTAGTTCGTTGGAGAATTGTCGCGCATCCGAACGTACTCTTAATACCGTCACGTCAATGCACTCGAGTGTTAATTCTAATTTCTATCGAAGAATTATATAATGTATGTGCATGAGTCACAGGGTGAATAGGGGGGACGTGCAAACGTCAAAATCGTGCTGCACCGATTTTGTTGCATTTTAGGTACGGTAAACAAATACTGATCACCCGATTGATTGCCCGATCTAAATTTGATCTTTCGTGTACAACAATCGTATAATATTGGATCGATAATCATCACTTGATATGTATATTGTATATTATCGTCAACTGCTATTCCGTCCAATGTCGATCGTGCGATGTGCTGCCATTAGAACTTTTGCAACGAGTTCATCCTTATATTAGAGGCCGTAAGAAGTATTAAATATATCTCGAAACTCGGGTAAAAACATCACTGCCAGTTGTCGCGCGACCTGATTGATTTTGTCAAAAATCTACTACTACTGTCGATGATATCGTTTAAAATTTTTTTGCAATTCACGTTCATCGAGCTATGACAGATACCGTATAAAAACATATTCCTCAAGGTTAAATGAGTAACGGATAAAAGTAATTGTAATAATCCAGTGACTGCGTAGTTTCGTTTCTTTTTTCTATCATGTTGAAATCTTTTCGTAATGAAGTAATGGCACAAAAAGTGTTTTGTTAGAGCAAAATCGATATTAATATCGATATGTTACATTATTTACTATTTTTAAGTACCACATATGAATTGTCTTAATCTTTTTGCTAATTAATTATTATTTATGGTTTTGATTGTACGTTGCAAGTCGCATGCTGTTTTTCCACTGATATTTCAGCTTGGATCTCTGCAAGAACGTTCAATAGGATTGCATTTACGATGAACTGGAAACATTATGCGTCTTACCAGTGAACAGGAAGACTATCACTAAGAAATGGCAATTTTCAAATTGAAAATACTAAAGCGTAGGTGCATGATTTCATAGCTGTGGAAACTACCATCATTTTATTGTAACGTGCGGCCAGGTATTTGTTAATTGAACAAAGTAACTGTTCGTATCGTACTTATTATTGAAAAATGCCAGCACCACCTCCACCTCTCTCAAGTTTGCCAGAGGCACCTATGTGTGAAAAAACTGAAGTCAGCGATGCAGACTCCCTGCCTCCTTGGGCCAAGATTACCCTTACATCTGCTGAGGCAGAAATTGAAAAGCTGATATCCCGAAATGAACTGAAAGATGCAGAAGTCACATATTTTTGTCAAGTTGAACCAATTTTGCAAGACGGACCACAGTGAGTTTCATCTGTAATTTATTATTTATAGATGAAACACATAAATCTAAATAATAACAATAATTACGTTACTATTTAACAGATGTGGTTTAGTAGCACTTGCTATGGCATCGCAAGAATACACAAAACCAGTTTCTGTGAGTCAACTCCTAGCTGAAGCTCGTGTAAGGGGTTTTACACAACATGGAGAAGTGTATAGTGTTGATTTTATGGGCACACTAGCGGCTGAATATTTGCCTGACCATAGACCGGATATCTTAGTGGATTTACAGCAATGCCCAGACACATTGACACATGCTTTGGCTCATGGTGCAATGGTACTAATTCCATACGATTCTGATTTCAATCATGCTCCATGCTTAAAAAGAGGCCATAAAGCTCATTGGGCACTACTTGTGGGTCTAATTTCATCTAGGTATGCCACATCTTTTCCTATTGTTTTCAAATTTTAATTGAAAGTAAACATTCTTGTGACTGACTCACTGTGATATGTATTTCAGACAAGGATATCATGTCTTAGCACGTCATGGAAAATCACGTCATTTAGCTTGTTGGCCGTTACGCGATTTAATCGAGAGCAATGGTAATTTGGAAGAAGAAGGAACAGCTAGACATGCTGGAGGATACGTGATACCAAAAGGAGGAGTCGGAGGTCAGAGAGGTTTGCGTGGTAGGGCACTGGCGTTGCACCCATACATATAAGATCTTGTACAAGAATTGTAGGTAATTAATATCACAGCGAAAGACAGAAATTACTATTATAATATTACTGTATCCATGTTACAGTATATGGTAAATATTCAAAGGCATAACGTTTGCACAGCTGCTACGGAATTTAATTACTTATAAAACCGTATTGCTTTTAAGTAACATGTGTTTTAACTTGCAATGCATTTTTTGATCAACATCTGAAGGGGGGTATTAAGATTCTCAAAAATTCGACATTAGATGTAATGAATTGACGAGAATATCATTCATTTAGTTTTAACATGCAGTGTAAATAATGATTTATTATGTACGTTTGACTGCACCTGACGGTTTGAAAGATTCTTTCTTTCGTTGTTTCGACGTATCGAGCTTTTCCTGTGGTGCGACACGTGTTAAGTGCAGGCATAAGAAAATAAAATGGGCATGTACACGTGCATGAAAGAGACAAACGTTAACGAGGAGAAAGAAAAGTCTATAAAGAATATCTGCATAAAATAAATATCTACGTGTATTAGCTAGGATTTATTGGGATCGTAACACTAGCTGAAACAAAAAAAAAAAACCAAGTATATTTATTTAGCGAAGAAACTGTAGGTTTTCGATCAATAATTATGAATCTTTGTTTTATCTTAACATTGTGAATAAAGACTAAATCTATCTATAGCAAGAGTCTCGCAATTGCATTTGAGGCAATACAACTTAATGTTCGTGTGTACCGGATTGTTGGGCGCATTGCTTTTAAGATACGGAATGAATTATTATATTTGCTAGATACGGTAGACTAGTTTCACGAAATCATACGAATTAAGACACGTTTCATTATCCAACATAAAATGTGCGATTTACTTTCAAATTTATTACATATCATTTTTATATTTATGAAACAGTCTTTCAAGCTTTACTCATAAGTAGTAACTTACAAATGACAAATTGCCTAATAACGATAGGATAGCGATACATATATACACTATATCTTTGAAATTATATATTAAGCTTTAAATTGAGATTCCTATCAAATTTTCCCGCATTTTTTCAAACTTTTATCAAACAAAATTAAATGTATCTTCTCTGAATCGTGTAAATCGAGAATTAAATTTATCACTTGGTAACTATATCGAAATCTCTTTATCGAATATACAAATACATATAAAAATATCCAAACTTACACTTAAAAATCTATAAAAATTCATTTTACGAATATATCGTCAAATATCACTTTGCTGTACCGAAGGTCTTGGAAGCAACGCGCTATAAGGAGAGGATCTTACTGTGTAGAACTCTACGATATGCTTGTTTTACTATGTATTTACCGGTATGTAAAGTACGAGCGTAGTTTTTACTGATATTAATACGTAACGATCGTAAAAAGAAAAAAGAACGGAAAGCTATCAAAACCTGGAGATATCTTATGACTGGGGCTCGTCTTTCCAGTTGTACGATATCTTAAGCGTTTTCTTTATCAAATTCGTCGGATAAAAACGCGTAAAGCAGGTTCGAGAGAGATGCTATATTATTTGTAGACTCCGTTGAGTAGTTTCGGATCGAATACAAAACAACAAAGAGCAAAGAGAAAGTTAAAAGAAGACAAAGAAAAAATAATAAAAACTGTACCCAAGTGCCGCAAAGTAACGAGGTTCATTCATTAAAAAAAAGGGAAAAAGGATAATTGTATACCGTGCCTATTCTCACATCGCGAAGCTTCTTCGATTTGCTGCCCTGTCGCAATCAAAAGATACTCTTGTAAAGTAAAACGAATACGACGAATGCTACTTATCGGTGCACGTACATGGTTTCTCCGTTTTCCATGATGTTTCTAATGATAATCAAAAAGGAACAAAAAAAAAAAGAAAATTAAAATAACACGTATTTTTTCTGCTCTAACTTCGTGAAACTCGTACGAATCGCGTAATAGAAGAAAATAGGGATTTTCAAGAGTAATAAAAAAATACGTCTTCCGTTACTTACCGCGATACAGTCTTTTCATTGGAGTCGGAGAAGCAGAGTTGAACCTTTCATTTCAAAAGCATTTAGAACATGTGAACTTGTTACATCTTCTATATATACCTATCGCCTTTTAATCGATGGGAAGGAAGTAGTTTCGATTAATGGGAGTTATCGAGCTTTTTTCTTCGAAGGATTTTAGTTCGTGCCGATGTATAAATCGTCATCGACTACATCGATGTACATCGCGCCTGTGTGGTTCGAAAAGTGTAAAAGCCAACGCAACACAGAGCCAAGAGAAAGCAGCGGTACATGGTGCCGCGTTACGTTATAAGAGATTAATATTGTGATCATTGTTAACACTTGTTTCTTTTTTCTGTAACTCGCGTAATTTTTACTTGATTTGTTGTCGGTATTTAGCTTTAAACGTGATACAAATATAAAGAGATGTTATCATTTACAAAGCATGTTTTCATTAAGATTTCTTTCCGTGTATAGTACATGTCTTTCTTTCTCTATCATCTATCTTTCACTTTTACACTTTGGCCGTTACTTTACGATGAACATCGTTAAAACGATATCCTATGCGAAAATCGACTGTATCGGGTATGGTTGGTGCTAGAGATTTTCTGAACTAGTGAGACAAGCGTGCCAATCTATATCTTTCAATTACGAGTATACATACTGCACGACGAAAGATTTACTTTCTTCTTTCCTGTTAGGAGTTTGAAAACAGAACGCAATAGTGACGTTCGAAGAGTAACCAAAAAAAAAAAAAAAAAAAAAAAAAAAAAAAAAAAAGGAAAGAAAAGGAGGATGTAGAGAAAAAGAAAATAAGAAATAAGAAGATATTAAATCGTTCGGATGGTACAGGTGCACTGGGATTGTAATAGAATATCGAGAAACTGCGTTACATTTATATTTCAAGCTTACAAACATCAACAACATAGTTTTTTTTCCACTTTTATCCTTTTAAAATTGTAACTTTTCCTTATTGTTGTTTTCGGTTTCTTTTTCCTTCTCTAAGCATACAGAGTTATTACCACAAGTTTATTTTTTGTCTACTATTTTCTAATTACATTATATATCTACTTGTGTCCTGAGATGCGACTGGGAATCATCGATCAATGTCCTCCCTCTTTCTCGTCTTTTGTAAATACAAAAGATCACGCCAGACGACTCGCACGCGACGAGAATGCGATTACAGTTTCGTCGCTGGAACAACGATCCTCACACGCTTCTTTTATTGAATCTTCGATCGTGGGAGAGCGTCGAAAGTCAAACCATATACATAAATATATTTCACGCGGATGCCACTAGACGAATAATTATATGTATATTTCTCTATAAAACGAAGCTACAATCTATTTTGCCGTTTTATATTGTACTCTGCATAGATGTATGTATACATATACATACGGTACTATACTGTGTATACATATATGTATACATATGTACATGTAATATATTAAAAAAAAAAGGAAAAAGGAAAAGAAAAAAAAAGAAAAACAGAGAGAATATTCTGTACAACGATTACACAGCGTTCACAGTATAAAACGACCACGTGTTACGCCCAGGACACAAGCCGTCTCTAATTATTCTATAGATTAATAACAATGATATCCTGTATCCGAATATTATGTTTATAATAATATATATCACATATAGGTATTTCATGTTCATTATATCAACAATAGGGGAGTTGAATTAAAAAGAAGGCTAGCGTTCACTTATTAGAAATTTATTTTCTTTCACTGCTTTCTCTCATTCTCTTTCTTTCCTCCTTTGTTTTGCTTCACCCGATCTACGCGTGTGTATTCACGTTCAACTTGAAAAAAGAAAAGAAACGAATTATTCGAGTCCTACAAAATTTTCCTCGATCATTGTGACATCTTTTCTTTCTTTTTTGTTCTTTTAACCCCGTTTTAGAGCAATTAACAAAAGGACCTCGGTAATGATACAGTGTTTACTCGCAGTTCGTTGGTCGTGCGAGTTTTATAAAAAAATCTCGCCTTTGACTCTCTCGCTTCCGCAGTAATCTCATTTCACGAGCAATTCGGGAAAAATTACGAATAACTTTATCCTCTATCCTCGTGCAATTTCGTTCGCGAAATATTTCCGTAAATCGCTTACGTTGAATAATTTAACGATCAATATAATTTTTCGACTAATACAATTATAGTTAACGTAGTTTCTAGTTCGGGAGTAAAAGGGTTCAAGAGAAACGGCACGAACGTTCGCGCGTTATTTGTATTTTAGAAACTTGGGCGGAATTATTCGTTTCAGCCGCGAACGAAGTTTATTGCCAGGTCCGTAACGAGATCCGTACAATTAATATGTTTAAAACGTGTCTACGATATATATATGTATATATTGCGTGCGTAATAAAATTCTGTACATCTGACGTTTGGAGAAAAAGCGTGAAACAGAAGAAACGCGCAAACGTGTAGAACGAGATACCTGGAAACAGTCGACACGCGTATCAAATATCAACAAACTACCACGTAATTCCTCTTCTAATCTTTCTTATCTTTGTCAGTCTAATTATTCGCGTAGAATTCGTGGAACGGTTTTTTTCTTCCGTAGCTTCGTCGTGCGACTCGCCGGTTCAATTCTCGAAGAGAAGGAGGAAAACTGTAAAATCAGTGCGAAAGATCTCGCGACGGGAACGCGCAACAAAATGGAAAAACGTGACTTTGCTCGTGAAGATACACGCGGAGGCCATGTTGCCCCCTCCATCTTGTCTCTTCGTCCGCCCTCTATCAATTTCGTTGCTGCCAGTTTCCCGCGCGGGAAGCCGGCACACGCGTTTTACAGCCCTTTTAATTGAACTCTCTGATATTATTGATAACAAGTTAATCATATGTACATGTACAGTTTAGACATCGGCCGCCGTAAGCGCAATAAAGACGTCTAAGAACGCCCGTGAAAGTCAAACGCCGTATCTCTGACCGATCTATTTGTTTTTTCGCTTAATTCTCTTTTTAATTATTTTCCTATTTCGCTTTTTTTTCTCTCCGATCGCTACGCTCTGGTACCGAAAAACACGCGCTCCACGTATATATTTATACAGACATATATATATATATATGGATATATATAGATATGTGTGTATATATATATGTTTATATATATTAATTACCTCTTTTTTTTCGTTTAATTATTGTAAGCTTTGAGCTTGGGCCTGGCTGCCCACACGTGTCGAAACTTACTATACGCTGACAAAAACAATAATCGTATCGTAGCAAACGCTTTCGCAGAGTATTGCGGCCCAGGCGTACGTGCTCACGGTCCTTGCGGTCCATAACGATCGCATTCTCGCGCTCAATCGTCTGACATAGAGCTTATCGATCCATTCCTTTTTGCTGCGCTTCGCGAGACTCGCGGAAAACGCGCTGGAAAATTCGAAACCGAATGGCGACGCTCGTTACGCGGATCGATCGCCACATCGCGGATTCGTGCGACGACGGTACCGATTGCCTCGTTCGAGAAGAATCTTGAGTTTTGACTAGAATCGAGAGCTACGAGAGTCGAAGTTCGCAGCGATCGCTGCTTGTAGCAGCCTTCAAGGGAACGAATTCTTCGACGAATCTTACGATGCTGTTGTGGACCGCGGACGACAGGTATCTGACGACTGAATTTCAACGTTCGCGTGCGCCATGGAAACAGGACAAGCAAACGAACGTTCTCGTTCTCTGTCGCAGACAGTTTGCTTTGAATGTTTCATAGGTTCCCGCGTTTCGTATATTTTTCTACGTTTCAATTTTTCATAAATCCATTCAGTTTAGCTACGAGTGCGACGAGAGGAATGGAAGGGGAAGGAGAACAAAGACTGTGAGCACGCGTCACGGGTGTATCGTCGCACGTCTCTAAAGACGCTAAAATCTCGTATTACAAAGCTTATTTATTAATTGCACAACTTGGACGAGTCGAAATTAAAAAAGAAGAAGAAAGAAGACGCAAGCGTTTATTTGCGAACCAACGATAAAAGCAAAAGGGAGTAAGGTAAAATAGGAGGAGAAGAGATCGAGGAACATTAAGGAACACGCGAAGTCCTTTACACGCTGTCGTGGATTAAAAGAACTCGTTTCTGCTTCAACATTGAATACGTTCGTAAGACATAAATATGCGTAGGTATGCGTGTACGACAGTTGGTGGAAACGATATAGCAAAATCGCAGATCTCTTATAATGTCATAGAGCTTCAAATTGTACATCTATGCCATATGATCATCCGTCCTGATGCCTCCATCTCACGTCATATCATCATACTATTGCACTGCATTATTGTACCGTCGCTGTGTTGTTGTGTGGTAACAAAACGTCTATCTATCGCTGGTCTACAATTTTTATTCTTTTCCGAATTTCGATCTAATTCCAGTTACAGAAAGTTTAGTAATCGTATTACAGAAGTAACTTGGATAAAATTGCTAGGTGTCATTTAGTGATTGCAGAGTGCTCGTAGGAAAAGCTGTAGGTGCCAAGGAACAAGCTCTCAAGGAAGGAAATAGGAACCTACGCATTCATGTTTGGGTTGGCAACTAAGTAATTACGGATTTTGTCATAGATGGTAATGACAAAATCTGTAATCACTTAGTTGCCAACAATAGTTCAAGTTTACCAGAAAGAAAACCGTGTTCGTAGGAAAGCCTGTACGCGTCGTCTCTCAGCTGCAAAAAGAACTCAACGTTTGGTTAATTATGATAAATGGCATAGACAAAAGCCAAGCAGCAATTAACTAATTTTTATTGGCACTTATATTTCTCTATATAGAGGCGACCTTGTCACACTATTTTCTGCTATTATTAAGAACTATTTGGAATGGGAAATTGCACTTGGATCTGACGTTAAGTAATACTCGATGCTAATAATAATACAACAGTATCTTCGTGGGTATGTGGAACATGGTCCAATAAAAAAACAAAATCTTCCAATCGTGGCACTTATAGCGTTTTCTACAGGCACTCTTCGATTATGGAAATAGCCAGTGGCGCCTGTTAATGTGTCGAACACGCGATATTTTACAGTTTCGCAACTTTACAATTTCGCAATTTTAGCCAGCGTTATTTATTGATTCAAGCTACGGTAGCTTATATTGAAAAATACATTTTTTTATACTGTCGCATAAAATTTCACTATTGTCTACATATATCGACGATGCGGGAATAAAAGCTTGTACGTTGAGAGGTTGGTTTTCGCACGGAGACAGTCAACGACGCATTGAACGACTGTTGTTCCGATTCTTGTAACGTACACAGCGTAACGCACGGCCGATTCTATGACTTCGCTATGTTCCTTCCACCAGCTACGGAACGGTATGCACGAACGTAAACGTTTTAGTCTCCGCGTTGTACAATTTAGAGCCAGGCTTCCGGTGTGGCCGGAAGTATGCTTCTTCGTCCGTTTAATTTATTCGGATTCTCGACCACTGCGCGTCGTCTCCTACGACGTGTCACGATCGAACTTGCATTCGCATTGCCGGCCGCTGTTCGTCGCAACAAATTTATTGGCTTTGAAACTTTTCCATCATTGTTTTCTTTTTTTTTCTTTTTTGGCGTTCCGTCGAAATTATACCGATAAGAGACATCGTTGAACGCGCCTTCTGACAGAAAAGCAAAACGCCATCGTGCAAAACTGCGGAACGACGTCCTCGAACGCCTCGTTCAAACTGTGCGAGTATATATGTACAGGGTGTCTCAAGTGTTTTCGTTCAAACGACGCGAGTATATTCTTCGGGTAAAAATAATTAATTTTATACAAACGTGGACCTATGGAAAGCTTCGTGATCCATTGTTGACAACATCCTCGTCGTACGCTTAGTATCAATCGTTCGTAAACGAGTACGCATAGTCATTGGCGGGTATTGTGTCAAATGAAAAATCAATCTCGCGTTATTTCGTACTTTTTTTTTTGTTGAATTTCTTCCTCAAGTGCTTACGTTCTACATTTCTATCAAACTTCTTATTTCTATTCGTAGAATATGCTGCTGAAAAATTATGGGTCACCCTATATATATATACACACACACACATAGTATCTATACATATGTATATACATATATTTATATGCATATGTACCTATAGAAATATATATATGTACATCGTATGGCAGGTTCGATCGCTGAAAAACGATTCAGCATACGTTCAATGAATCTGACAACGAGGCAGTTAATATCGCGTGTATGTGTGCGCGTAGCAACGTCTCTTTGTTGACTTTTCATCGTTCGCGTGGCCTGCTGGCATAGTTTCTTTCCTTTAGACTTCAGACTTGTCGCGTTCAACCGCGCTCTTATTTCTCGTGATAATGTGCGCTCTACTGAAAACTGACACGGGTTTGAAAGTCTTTCCCGAGGGTCGCGTGCAAACGTTGATTGATCTACCGCGGCCTTTCCTCCCCTCGCACCTTTTTCGCCAACTCGAACCGACCGACCGGCTCTTCGAAAACTGCCAACGAGTCTACTTCGATACGATAAAATATTACTTTGTTAAATCCAGCGATAGTAAGAAAAATATATCAATACTTTTAAAATAGGAACGAACGTCGTGTTCATCTCGAGCTTATCGTTGTGAGGGGACCTTAAAGGACAAGCCGCGCGTCAACGCGTTTCCTTTAAGTCGTGTCACTCTCGTAAGAAAGCATCGCGCAACGTGTCGAATAAAACTTCTTTTATTTTGCGGGATCTCGCAACTGAATTTTTTTAAATGAATTAAAATTTACATACACACACACATATATATATACATAAAATAGAATGATAAAAAATTTCAAGACAGAAATTGGCAATTAATCAGAAGATCCGATCTCATCCAAGAATTCTCTCAAATTTGAGTATCCGATCGCTCTTATCGCTCCGATCATCCTTTTTTCTCTAAGCACAGCCTCGCGGAAGGCCATCGCGCGTCGAAAAGCAGAACGTTGCCACGTACACACGCCCCGCTCGGCAATAACTTGCCAGTGCCTCGAGCTGCTATTCAAATCAACTACATATCTCGCGGGGTAGTTCGCAGAAAACGGGTTATTGCTCTCAGCCGCTTAAGGATGTGAAATGTAGGACTACGATTTGCGCAGTTCGATACTCGTTACAAACTAATTGCAGACTAGCAGAGAACAGGGGAGGGGGGCGGGACACAGAGTACGTACTATCGTATGGTATGCGTGTGTTCGGTGCGAGTGTGTGTACGTGTACATGTACCGGCACAGGGTAAAGATTTTGCCTGTAATTTTATACCGGCGAACGTAAATTCGCCAATGTACCATAAGACGTTATTATCGATTTCCTCTTCGCTGTTTTACGCACAGTGATAGAATGCTCGTGTTCCAAATGTATTTTCTCTGAATTTAACGAATGATCGAATGGACGATCGGTTTTTTCTTCTTCTCTTTATTTCTGCTCGAGCCTTTCTCTCTCTCTCTTCTTCTTTTTCGATTTGGCATTAGGCAGTCAGCGCGACGTATATGCCGCTGGAGACACCGAGCAGTAAACTGCTGCGTCGTTACTTCTAATTTTTCCCCCTTTTTCTTTCTCGTCTATTCTCTTGCTTATCCGAAGCTACATTCCAAAAATGAAGAAATCGGAAAGTACGTGACTGCTGCACGCAGCTATTGTTCGAACGGTGCTCGTTTTCTTCTCGTGCAAATTATGATACGTGTTTATTTATCTCGTTTCTTCTTTTCTTCTATTATCCACAGTATTAAACGTTAGTCTTTATCGTTTCGTCGTGATATGACTCTATTTCTTTTTTCTTCTTCTTCTTCTGAGGGACAAGAGGAACTTACGGACTTGACTTGCAACGCGTGACAGGCGGTTGATTTTGAACGGCGATTTAAAGTGAAATTCAATAATCAATAAATGTAATTAGAAAGGAGGAAGAAAACGCGCGAGCGCGTTTCGATTCTGTCTTTTCACCACGATAATTTCATTATCGATCGATGGTATGAGAAGAACGTACTCATTCGATATCTTTTTTTTTTCTTTTTTTTCTTTTTCTTTATTCCCTAATACCCTCGTCTACGTCTTTCCAACGAATTTATTTCTATTAAGTCTTGCTCACTCTCGCCCTCTCTTTCTTTTTCTTTTTTTCTTTTTCTTCTTTTATTCCTACCGGCTAAACAATAATACGCGGATGAGTATACTCTATACGTTACATCGAAGTCGAAGGGTGAGAAGGTCGTCTAGCAAGAATCAAGTATCAAATAATCAAATCTGAAAATAGAGTATTTAAACTACAGCAGCCTGCGGCTAAAAGTCTATAAAATGGAATACAAAAAATATGTCGAAATCTTAAACGAGAAAAGGAGTATAACGTATATAATAACTAATGAGCTAATTCGTAATCGTCCTAATCGTATTCATCATCTTATTATTCTTCTCTTCCTTTCTCTTCCCTTTCGTCTATCTTCTCTCTCTCTCCCCGGGGAAAACTTCCCGAAAATTCGCGAAACTACATCGTCTTCTCCTAAACAACAGGTTTGTGCGCTAAGAGAAATGTTTTGCCTGTATCACAGACTTCTTTCGATAACGTCGCTGTATGCTCCATTGCTATATGCGATCGTATATATATATATATATATACGTGTGTGTGTATATACACACATGTGTAAGTACACACACATATATATTTACCTATGTATATGTATATAGAATACACGTTAATTAAATAAATACATAATTTAACGCTAACCTTTGCTTCGCTACCTCGCGATTTAGACGAAGAACTATCTTAGCAAATACGCGTATCAGTTCGACTCGCAGGCGAAACCGATCGATTTTTCCTATGCTCGTCCTTAAAAAAATTTCTATATGTACACGCGTCGACGGCTAGGGAGTGGGGATGCAGGAGAAGGGGTGGGGGTGGCTTGCTGAACCCGGTTCCCGAACGATTCTTCGTAATCCATCGCATGTGCCGCTTCCAACAGGAAAATCGAATATCCTATTCGTGCAATTCGCTTCCGCTGCGGACATCGTGCTCCTAACGATGTAACCGCACGTTCCCTCGCTGTATGGCATTCGCGTAACCAACGAGATCCATCGTCATCGTCGTTATCTTATATTAATCGCAATACGATATGTTTGTTGGCGTTATGCGTCTACCGGTCTTCGATACGTCTCAGTTACGCGCCTACTCCTGGCGAACTGCGCATGCGCGACGAAGAGTCGCGTCTCTTTCTTTCTCTGCGTTTCTGGCTTCTCTATGCCTTGGGACAGTTGGCAGCAAAAACGTTAACAGATCGCACAGTTTCCAAGTTTGCTTTCCGCTTCTCGAAACGTAATCGAACGAACGACCCGAGCGTAATGCAACACCGTGGGCCAATTAAACGAACAGGCAGCGTCCAAACACTGTAGAAGCCTGTACAAGCTGCAACGACTTGCGGTTTCAAGCAGCAGAACTGTCCACTGTACGAACTCTGGCGCTCTATCGCGCATTACCTCCCGCTCTGTCTCGCTACTTCTTCCCTTTCTTTTCTCTATTTTCCGACGTTCCCAGGGTTTCATGGCTTTCGGGTTTTGCGCGATAAGCTAAGCGGTTGTTTCTAATTGGCAATATCCATGAACACAAACGAAATCTGGCGAAACGTCTGGCCGCTGACGGGAACGAGGCAAGCGTTTACGTGGGGTTCGCTGCTTGTTGCTGGGGGCTGTACTCCAACATCGCTATCGGGAACGTCTTGATGTGCGTCTGCCACTGCGCCGACAGTTGGAAGAATTTCACGCCGTACCACTCGGTACCGTCGATGCTCACTGAAGAAGAACAAGTTATTCGTGTAATTTCAACGTTCCACGTGCTAACGTTCCTCTGCACAATTTTCCCACATTTTACCTACGTTATTCTCTTTCTATTAAACTGTACCAGAAATTCCTTGCGTTTTATGAGCAAACGATAGATGCAAATTGTTTGGTTCATGTTATTTTATTGAAGATATTTCTATCGTTCTATTACCGCTAAATAAAAATAATATAAAAGAAACAATGTGCATCTATCGTTTTCTTAGAAAAGCAAAGAAACTTTTCGGACAACCTGATGAATTCCTTGAGTTAAAGAAATTGATAAATATGATCGTATGAATACAAAGACTTGAAACATGACGAAGTTGTAGACGTGTCACTTAGAAATTTTGTGCGTACAATAAATGTCTGTATAGTGGCCTTGAAAATGAAAGAGATATGAAATAAAAAAAATGGAAAAGTTGTAGAATATTTTAACCTTCGGTTGTCGTTAAGTCATTAAGGTCATTTAAGTTTTACTTTGCAAAGAAATATCTTCAGGACTCTTCTGTTAATTTGCAGTGTTTTTTAAAATATCTGATGATCACGCTGCTAGACTTAGTAATGGGTCATATTGACCCAACTGTGGCAAAGGTGTATTTTTCGCTGCAGCCGAACGTGTTTTATCTCTGTGCAGCTTTTGCATACATATTTTCGCGCAAGAACTGATTGAAATCGTTATTACACTTTTTTACACCTAAATCTACGCATACAATTAAAACAAAAGATGGTTGTACCTGTACGTGCGAGTAAATTGATTTTCTCATTATATACAGGGTGGTTGGTAACTGGTGGTACAAGCGAAAAGGGGTGATTCTACGCGAAAAAAGAAGTCGACAATATAGAATAAAAATTTTTTTTTTTTAATTTTTCCATCGAGACAACGATCTACAATGAGATCAGTTATAACGTACCGAACGCGTACCGAGCGAAAATTCAAAGTCGATTTTCTCGAAAACAAAGCCTCGAACGAAAAATTGTTATTCTATATTTTCGACTTCTTTTTTCGCGTAGAATCACCCCCTTCCCGCTTGTACCACCAGTTACCAAGCACCCTGTATATTCACATAATTGTATTCTTCTTATTCGAAAACTATTTTTCTTAGAGTAACACGTCTTAAAACCATGTTAAATTTTTTACGAGAAAACGTAAGAAGAGTTACAGCATTTTTCACTTAAAAATGTTTCTCTATCGAAACTTACAGTTACAAGGATTCTCTGTTTTTTTTAAATAATCTCACTTGGTTTGTTAACCGTTTTTCTTATCAAAACGTATTTCAGAGTGTTGAAACTCCCAATTTTTTCCACTGAATATCTCTGTTGTTTTTATAACAGCAGCTTCGTGAAAGTTCCAATTGGAAATTGGAAAGTTGAACAACTCGGCTTTGGGCGAACCCCAGTGCGACAACCGACGGTTAAACGTAAATTTTCATTCTCTATAATTCTGTTCTAATCGTCGCTATAATTTTAATTAAAATATGAGTCTAATAGCATTATCATATAGCGTAAGAAGAAAATTTCCAATGAAAATTTCGATTTCTCTTATCCTAAAAAATACTGTGATTTTCGTACGTTTTGTATACACGTAATATTAGGAGAAAACTGGCACATGTTGTTACCTCTTAATGGAATGTTGTGAGTCTTCGCAGAGCATATAAGTCGTGTCACGCCTTCCACTGTTTGACTCTTTGGCTCGTTTTCCTTCTCTTTCTCTTTCTTCTTACCCAGTCTCATTACTGCAAATGAAACGGACAAACGTATAAAATTTTTTCTGAAAACTAATACCATTTCAGAAGAATACAACGTAGTTAGATGTGAATTATATTTAACTCCTAATTGCTCTCGTGGGATTTTCTCGTTTTAATTTAATTTAATCTCATTTTATGCTACCAGTTTCGAATATATACTCACACATATGATCCACGTACGTATAGTATACGTGAATAATTACTCAACTGTAGCTCAACTGTATTTTTAGATTGTTCGTAATATTAAAAGAAAAATTGACCGAATCGTTTGTACAATTTCGTATTACAATGTAAAACAGAATTGAAGATTAGGGAAATGTTAAATTTTCTCTTAAAATTGTGCCTCTGCTTCTGGCTAAACATGCAAATTCAGCGTTAATTTTGTGGATTCTCCTCTGTTTTTGATTACTATTATTAATCCCTCAGGTGCACTAATCGCTAACTTATTTATAGTTTTGTTTTGAATATCTTCCTATGTGGATTTTGTGCTTCTTTTAGGGCTCTGGATCGTGTTCGGATTAAGACTCGATGCTGGCCATCGTCATAACTCTATTCAGCATCGTCTTGTTTGAGAAATTGTCTTTTCGTCTGCAGTTTCAGTTATTGAAAAAAATAATCTTCTTACGTAATACAGCGTTCAATTTAGCCATTTTCAAAAACAATTTCACTTAACATATTCAGGCATTCAATCAGTGGTTCCTTAGAAATATCGAAGAAACAACACAGAAAATGTTTTTGAGTTTACAATTGTCCAAAATAATGTACATATAAATAATTGAGACTAAAAATTGCACATATGAAAATTAAATTAAAATTATACGTATATAATATACCAATGACAGTAAATATACATATACACACACGAACATATTACATTTTACTAAAAGTTATCATTAACCAGTTAGTTAGTATGTTGCGTCCTCTTTGAAAAGTGTGCATCTGAAATGTGTGGCAAAAAGTGAGTGATGACGAGTATACTCGTCAAGCGCTGAACATGCGAGGCTCTTATAAATTAGAATTAAATTAATTAACGAAATGACTGTTTTACGTTTTAACTTCATTACTGCAATCCACTGCAATTACTAAATTGAAATTTAAACAACATATTGTACTTGTTACGCGTGACGAGTATACTCGTCAAACGAAGAGTACGCGAGGCTCTTATAAATTAGAATTAAGTCAATTAACGAAATGGCTGTTTTACGGTTTAACTTCATTACTGCAATCCACTGCAATTACCAAATTGGAATTTAAACAACATATTGTACTTGTTACGCGTGACGAGTATACTCGTCAAACGAAGAGTACGCGAGGCTCTTATAAATTAGAATTAAGTCAATTAACGAAATGGCTGTTTTACGGTTTAACTTCATTACTGCAATCCACTGCAATTACCAAATTGG